TATCTCACAGCAATTTCTGGTTAGCAAATTATTTTTTATTTTCCATTGAACTACAAACATATTTTGGGTTGGTATAATGTACTCCAACCCCTCCTCAGTGCTAGTTCAAATAAACAAGAAATATTAAAACATGACCATGTTATACCATAGAAACAAACTAAATCATAAAAAACACTTACATTTCCACATTATGTAAATTACAAAAAATTCTTTTTTGTTTTCAAAATAGGGATTGGGAGGGCAAACCTTCCTCATCCAATAACCTGTATTTAAACATAAAATTGTGCATTCCGTATTAATATACATCTAAAATTAAACAACCATAACTTTCAACGAACAAACTTCCATATTACTCACAATCATTTAAATTTTTTTACACATGAGTATATAACAGACATAGTAAAAAATTGTTAACGTAGTAAAAATTGACATAAATAGGTAAAAATTTATTTGATACACAGACAATATTATTAAAAATATAACAGTATCAGAATTACTATGGAAGATTTTTTACGTAATTATACCATGTTTTAACTTGTTTTAGTGCCATCTATTAATTCGTACCAGCAGTAATCAATTTGCATACCATCTGAGTTATTTATTAAATTATTTTTTTGTTTCCTTCTTTCTAAATGCTCTTTAAATTTTCTTTTATAAAGGTCTTTTTCAAAATGCAAAATTTCTATATTATTACGGTTAATTTTACAATTATTGTTATTTGTATGATCATACCACGGAGAATTCTTGTACTTCAATCTGATGGCCGTTTCATGTTCTTTTATTCTAACCTCTGACATGTGCCCTTTTTCACCTATGTACAGTACATATATGGATTTTGACAATCACATTCCAACCTGTATATAACACCAGCTTTTTCTAGGCAATCCATATTATTATCCATATGAAAGTATAAAAAAACAATTAGCCAAATTAATTAAAAAAAGTTATATAAATAATAATATAAGCAATATAGAAAAAAATCATATTCTTGACTTCAAAAATAATAGAATTCCTACTCTTAATATTAGATTAAAAACTCATAAAGAAGAAGAAAAATTTAGACCCATAGTAGAATTCAAATTCTCCATTCTTTATAATTTAGAACATTACATAAAACAACAATTAAAATGTTTAGAAAATTCTGTCAATAGTATTAAAAATGCTGATACTGTTATTAATAGAATACAAAAATTGTAAAAAGATAATTCTGATAAATTAATGAGTTTAGATATAAAAAATATGTATCCCAGCATAAATTGGAAATTAATAGAAAAATGTTTAAGTGATCTTAATGTACATAATAATTTGATAAACTTAATACAATTTGCATATAATAATAATTATTTTGAGGTTAACGAAGTGTTTTATAGACAGATAGATGGTATTAGCATGGGGTCAAAGATGGGGCCAAAATTAGCTGAATTACTTATGATTAATATTGATAAAAAAATAAGTGAAATACATGGCATAAAATTAATAATGAGATATGTAGATGATAATTTGATCGTATATAATAGTAATTTAACTAATAAACTATCCACAATTAGCTGAATTAGTTATGATTGATATTGATAAAAAAATAAGTGAAATACATGGCATAAAATTAATAATGAGATATGTGGATGATTATTTGATCATATATAATAGTAATTTAACTAATAAAGAAACTATCCATAACTTTATAAATAATATAAATAAGGACATTCAGTTTGATATTGAAGAAGAAGTAAATAAAAAAATTAATTACCTTGATTTAACTATATTAAATAACCCTGTTAAATATAATTTCATAACATATAAAAAATCTTGTAATGTTAATAAAACTATAAATTATCATTCTTATACCCCAGTTTATATGAAAAAGAATTCTTATTTTATGGAATTAAAAAATATATATACACGCATAACCGATGACCATAATATAAACACCAAACTTAAAGATTTAGAAATAAAATTTATAATGAATGATTACCCAAAGTTTATCCT